AAGACAAAATTTTCGTAAAATAAGAAATACTAATACTATTGAACTAAATATTCGTTAATAAAACTACCGCAATGTTCAAACCACAAATTTGGTGGTTTTTGGAAAAAAAATTTACAATCTTTGGGTTTGGTCATGACACACGTTTATAGAATTATATAGCGTGGGGCCATTCATTAATTGGTAAACCATCATAATGCAAATTATTTGTAATCTATAATATAAAATAGAATAAATTTCAATAAATTTTTTCAACGTTCTTAAATAGACTCGTTCAATTACCACTAATATCCCTCTTAAAATTATTCTCATTGAATTCTCTTCTCCGTATTCATCACTTCTCACTTACACTCTATAGTACCTTCAGATACAAGTTACCCATAATATACTAATAATATAAGAAACATTTTAAGTGGGGTCCATTCTTATTTTTGGGAAACATCAAATTTTCTATTTACAATGTATAGACACTAAAAAATTATATTAATGGTCCGTTTAATAGGATTGATGAAAAAATAAAAAATAGAAAGTAAGAATAATACACTTCCTATCTTTCAAAAGAATAATAATTTTTTTTTTCTTTTTTGTGTTTGGTAAGAGAGACAGAAATTAAAAATAATTAATTTTTTGTGCTCGGTAATATAGAAAAAATATTTTTTATTTTTTTAAAAAAATATAAATACATATTTTATCATTATATCTATATATGAAATTAATGTATACTTAATATATTTCTGATAAATATTAAAAATATGTATATCAAAGGATTTATAAACAAATAAAATATATTTTAACATACATAATTAATTTATTATCTACTTTTTTCTTAATTTTAAAGAAATTAATTGTAATAAATTAAAAAAATTAATTTATTCATTTTTTTTATCATTCTTATTTTTATTCCTTATCAAACATAATATTTTATATATTCATTGAATTTTTCACCCTTCTGGTTTTTTATCTTATCGCATCGGACACCTAGGGCATGTTTGTTTCGAGAATAAAATTTATGTGGTATAAAATTTTATATTCATTCCATTCCAATTCAATATTATATTATATCCGGTGTTAAACTATAATCTCATCATTCTCTTTATTTATTTATTACAAATATTATCTATGTAATACTTACTTAAAAAAGTCAATAATTGTGACTAACCAATGTAAAAGATAATTTTAATCTTTAAAAATTCAAAAATTGCGACTAGACTTTTATATGAGAATTGTACCATAGGGTATTTCAATTTTTTTAATTTATAATACTTATACCAAGAACATAATACCACCTCTAGGTGGTATTCATTAAGATCTTTTAGAAGGCATTATAGCTACTATTTGTAACGGGTCGGTATTATGATCCGAAAAATAATACTAACTATAAAATACCAAACAAATAACGTAAAAAATGGGTCGTATATACTATTTTTCTAATACCATTTTCTTATACCGCTCTAATACTCAAAAATAAACGACCCGCCGGTGAGTAGTGGTGAGTATTTCACTAATTAATTACTACTTTTAGCAGGCAGACAGCAATAGATTGGAGTGTTCATGTACATTTAATGTTTCCCACGCGCCAAACATGACTCAAAAACCAATTAAAAAGAACAGCAAACGCACAGCGGTCCGACCATGAGACGCCAGATAACAAAGTTCTTCCTATTAATTAAAATAAAATACTATAAAATAATTCAAAAGATAATATATATTTGAATTTTAATTTTTAAATTCAATTTGAATTATATATTATTTTCTTTTATTAAAATAGTGAGACTTACTAAATTCACATGATATTATATAATTTTTTTAATGATATATATAATATTAATGACGTAGTATTATCATTATATTACGAGTAATATTATTAAAATAAAATTTGAGAACTTAATGATCGGACTATTGAATTATCAATGAATCATAACATTGAATTGTCAATAGACTTCAGCATTGAATGCAATTCACCATCTATTTAATGGTTAGGTTAAGTCCCCAAATTGTATTTCAGTAGCATTTGTGTTATATTTCATAGTTTCTCCAATGTGTGATAGAAAAGTGGGAGAAAGAAAATAAAATAATTTTTTCTTGGTCGGTTGAAAAGAAAAATGGGCAATAGAAGTCGGAGGGAATCTTTTCGACTCGTACCCACAAAACATTTTCCTTGAAGCATGAAGACACTAAATTAGACAATAAAGCTATTGGAAAAAATTTCAGTCACGTTTTTTCTTGTTTATTTGTTTATGTTTTAAAATTTGAGTTAATTAAAAAATACATTTTTTTACATATTAAATTTAGAGCTAATTAAAATTTTATTCAAGGTTCAAATCAAATTTTAATCAACACTTATTAAATTATAATCGGCCCACTTTTTTATACATAAAAAAATAAAAATTTTAATTGACTCAAAAAATAAATTTTAATCAACTTAATCAAATTTTAATAAATAAATTTAATCTATTCAAATCGAATTTTAATCGGGACTAATAACTCAAGTAGAGCTCAAATTAACTTGAATTTTAATACTTAAACAAAAAATTTTAATAAGCTCAAATTTTAATACATAAAAAAATAAAATTTAATCAGCTTGAATCGAATTTTAATCGACTCAAATTTTAATATGTAGAAAATTAATTTTAATCGAATTTTATATAAAAAGATTGTATGAGATTTATGTAGGGACAATTTTTGTATTTGAAATAATATATTTTTATTACAAATGCTAGTTTAATGGTAAAAGGTGTCAATGATGTTCAAATATAATCTAAAAAGAGTATTAGTGATGTTTTTGATAATAAAAGTAGTGTCTATAAAGATATAATAAATTAAAAAAAGTGTTGCTGAAATATTTCCAAGATACTTTACTTTTTCCCTTTTGTTAAGTTGTGCGGTGGTGTTATCATTATATTATATATTTTCTCCATTATGTGATAGAAAAGTGAGTTAGATGAAAAAGAGGAGAAGAAAAGAAATTTTTTTTGTTTGTTTGGCTTGAAAAGAAAAATGGGCAAGAGAAGTGGGAGGGAATCTTTTCCACTCACACCCACCAAAAATTGTTCTTGGAAGAATGAAGATACGAGATATTAGACGATAAAGTTAATTTATATTTTGTCCTTTGTTAAGTTATGTTTAATGTGTACAAGTTTCGCCAATATGAACATCTTAAGTTTAAAATTGTTTTAGAAGGAATTTTGTTGGTTAATTTATATGAAAAAGAATTGAACTGGGGTAAAAGAGAAGGAAAAAACTTGTGTTAATTTCTTTTGGGTGTTTGCGTCGCACATTGTGGTGAACATGTGATGGTTATGGTTTTGATGATAGTGACAATTTTTACGATGAGAAGGATAATGTGTAATAGACAATCTGCCAAAGACTATTTTTAATTTTACGCAACCAAACAGACTCCAAATTGTTTAAAAATCCCCGCATTGTGGAGTCCAATTTATATGATGGTAATTAATTTTTATTGTGATGATCCACAAATTAATTTTGCACACCACTTATCAAGTGACTAATAATTAAAGCAGGTAATAAAGTAGAGAGAGAAAAAACATGATTTTATAGTGATTCAATTAACGTGACTTATGTCCACTTTGATAGGCTAGAATTGCCTGAGTATTTTGTTACTGTAAGGTGTTTAGTGAGAGCAGAGAGATACAAGCTTGGAGAGTTATTGATGTGCTCGACTTAGTGCGATGCCGTCCAAGTGTTGACAGGATTTGCAATTTATAGTCATTTTCTAAAAGATCGAGACAACTTATTAATAACTAAATGATTAATTTGGTTGACTTGACGCTCTCTTCTCAACGAATAAGACAGTTACGAAACTCCCCATAAGATTCAGTTAAAGAATGATGTAGGAGTTGACTCTTTTTAAAATACTGTGAATGAAGCTCTTGAATGACCCTGTTTACTTTCTTGGCGATGTTGCTTCTCCAATCCTGATGAACTTAATTGGACGTGGACTTTTTGGGCTGAATTTTATTGGATATCTTTAAATTGAACTCTTGATTTAAACCAATCTCACAACGGGAGTTGGGCCGTTGGACTTGATCCATTAATTTGTATTTAAAATCTAGACAATTTAGACGTGGTCCCAAATATGTTTTTAACTTAATTAATTTTCCTCCCCCAAAAATAAAAAAAGAGTAAACTAATTTGATTCGCTTAGGTGTACTTTCCAGGTAAGCACTTTGCGGTCTTTTTTTCTTACAGTCTCGACACGTTGTATATGCTATGACCGTATAGCCCGTAGGATGGGACCACTTTTATTAATTAAATAAACCCCGCGCGTGGTGGTTCAGACGAAGACTGGAAAATATCTACATTGATCCCTCAACCTTGACGTGTACCAAAAGATGCTGCCACGTGGGTTTTACCTCGCATCCCGATAAAATGATAAGAGTAATATTACATGAATTTAAAAAATAGACTTGATAATTTTAATCATTGATTTTACTGTGGATCCCAACATTTATTGAGACCCACTACCTATTCAATGGTTGAGATTATCAAGTCTAATTTTTTCTAAAGTTCGTGTAGTATTACTCAAATGGTAATCATATTATAATTAAGTTGAATTGATCACTTAGATGAATAATAAATTTAAATATTTTAAAATTTTGAAAAATCTGATAAGAAAAATTTATCTTTAATATTTTAATTTTAATATAGATGATTTATTTTTAATTGAATAAAAAAAGATAAATGAAATACGTGTAAATTAACTTATTAGTCAAACAAAAAAAATAAAATTGCAATCCTATAAGCGACGGCCACGTTACCACTAGTTACTGTACGCGCCTCCTTTATATATTCAAGGTGTTCCCTCATCCACCATCACAATTGAACGGATCGAAAATTTTAAACACACCCACACAGAATCACTCAGAGCTCAGCTCATCTCTGAGAGAGAGAGAGAGAGAGAGAGAGAGAGAGAGTTGGGGTTCAAGGTGTGGGGGATGGAAACTGAGAATATAATAGCACCGTTCGTTTTGAAGACTTACCAAATGGTCAATGATCTGACGACGGACAGTCTCATCAGTTGGGGCAGAGGCAACAATAGCTTCATCGTCATCGACCTATTAGATTTCTCTCAGAGTCTCTTACCAGCTTACTTCAAGCACAACAATTTCTCAAGCTTTGTTCGTCAGCTTAACACCTATGTGAGTATATCCGAACCATGCCCTGAACATATGTAATATGAATTCTATGATGAAACGTTTCTGACATAGAAATTAATTCAATATCAAAATTTTAATATTTCAACTTGTTCAAGATGTTCCGTAATATTTCAAGTTGTTTTGAAAAAATATGCCAAATTTGTGTAAAATTGATGTAATTTTACGGTGTTATATTTGTATATAGGGTTTTAGGAAGGTTGATCCGGATAGGTGGGAGTTTGCATGTGAATGGTTTCTTCGAGGCCAGACCCATTTACTGAAGAATATTGTGAGGAGGAAACAGAGTAAGAACAATCATACAATGCAAAACAAGCTTGAAGATTTTGAAGATGAGGGTATGGTGATGGAGATAGAGAGGTTAAAGCAAGAACAGAAGGCTTTGGAACAAGAACTTGAAGGCATGAACAAAAGGCTTGAGGCAACAGAGAGAAGACCCAAACAAGTGATGGCTTTTTTGAGTAAAGTTGCAAAAGACCCAGAAATTTTACCAAGGATGATGTTTCAGAAAGAGAGAACCAGAAGGTTTGGTGAGAAAAAGGGACGTTTGAATTTGCCGCAAAAAAGTTCAGTTAGGAGTGAAAAGGAAGAAGAAACCAAAGCCGTTAATGGAGCATCGCCAATTTCATCGCCGGATTCTAATTTTGATATGCGCAATTACTTTCCGTCGTCATCATCGCCGGAGACACCGTCCACGGCGTGTTTGAGCGAAAGACAATACCTGGGTTGGCATGCGATGACTCAAGAACCTCTTAATTGGGCCACCAGTTCAAGTTCATTGTCACCAGGTTCTCTCAGTGCAACCGATGGTTTCGCGGCAGTGTCGACGCCGGTAGACAGTGTTGCAGG